TAGCTGCATGCATATTTTAGCCATAGAAACTTGCATAAAATTATCTTAACGTTAAAGTAATCAGTGATATTGCACGATTCTCTTAAACAAATATGTAACGTTAACACTTGTTATCGTTATTATTTTATAAAAGCCTACTTGCCTAAAAACTTATTTCATAATATCGATATAACCACCATACATAATTCTTTTTTTGCTTTAATTATTCTATCCTTTTTCGTGACAATCTTCGCAATTCCATTCTTCTAAAAGAGATAACGATATCAATAAAGTGGATGATAAATTCATTGATGCTAATGCTATCGATGTTGTGAATGGTATAATTATCGAATTTCCTATTACAGCGAATATTCCTTCAAATGGTTGAGGAGACCTAAAATACCGGAGACAATTATCGATTAATTTTTTTTAATATGAAAGAGTTTATCTTTATATTCATTTATTCTCAATATAACTAAAAAGAAATGCTAGAAGAAAATTTAGTTTCAAAGGTTAAGTATAGTTTCATATATTTTTAAATATTACTAAATTATATGTTTAGCTTGATTTTTTTAATTCTCGCAGAAACTAATATCAAAATAAGTATAATATATATTTGCGAGAAGAATACTGCACATGTAAATGGAACGAAAATTCTTTCATTTCTACACACCCCTACAATATATTACCGGAAATTCCAAAAATGAGTTTGACACTTTGGAACCCGATTCTCGACATCCGGTGATCCCATTAATCGAGATGAATCTAATGGTGGTATTGTTCTTGTCAATTTAAGAGTTGTTGAAACTAATGAATTAACAAATGAACAATTAGTAAAAGAACAAAGACTGAATGATTTATGATTAATGGGGTTTACTAAAGGTTCTAAAGATCTACTGTGATAGCTTGTATGCAAACTAACTTAATATTGAAGGTAAAAATAAGAGCAAAGAGTGGATTAAATAAAAGCATCCACTACTTGTAATCAAAATTGAATATTATCATGAAAATAATAGTATATTCACAAGTAAAATATTATAAGAACTTATTGATATAGTCTAAAATAATAAAACTAAAATAAACCAAAATACTAAAGTCAATAACATATTTAGAGTGGAGAAATATTTACTACTTGTAATCAAGATTAAAGATTATCATGAAAATAATAATAAAATATATTCACAAGTAAAATATTATAAGAACTTTGTTATTGTCATTGATCAAAGTATGAGAGTTTCTAGTGATGAGAGACTCTTGTTTTATACATTTTAATAGTTTCTGTGATTTATATGACTAATAATTATTCTGAATCATACCACTATTTACAGATAATACTAAATAATATTAAGGCTGAAAAATAACACATGATAATAAAAGAAAAATACAAGATAAAAAAATGTACAAGAGATAAGAAAAATCAATGTCATAGTAAAAAGAAAAGATCTAAAGAAAGAAAATTAATAACAAGCTTGATCATTGATAATGAAAATAAAAGTAAAAATGTGAGATAAAATAAATATGAATGTGATTGGGTAATTATAATATAATAAGAATTAAGAATGTTCTTGTTAGGGATAAAATATAAAATGCACAAATAGAAAAAATATTGATTTTTGAGTGAAACATATGAGAGAAAATAAAGTGGAAAGTAATAACATTAAATTCTCTAACTCCGTAATTTTGATCCTCAAATTCTACATGAAAATCTTTCCATAACGACCTACACGATAATCCTTCCAAAATTAGTTTCTTGTGTAAGTTCTATTGTAAACCAAATTTAGTTAGGAATAGCGATAGATATTACCTTTTTCTTTTTTTATCGTTATCTATTTATATCGAATTACGATCGTTCTTTTAATACGTATAACGTATACGGCGATCATCGAGAGGGTAACAATCACAATAATTGTTTGAACAATCGGGAGTATCGAACGATAGTTAATACACGTAACGGTAACGGTAACGATTATCGAGAGGATAATCCCGACAATCATCTGGACAATTAAAAGAGCATCGACGAAATGTACGTAACGATAGTAACTGTAAAAAAAGGGAGATAACAATCGGCTGGACAATTGAAAGACAATCGAACAATTAGTGTTTAGTCGTGTTAAAAGAAACCATTAATGTAAATTACTAACCTTAGAATTAACATAGGATTAGCGTAGTAATTCAAAATTGTATATAGAAGCGTCTTCAAGTCGCTGAGAAGACATGCTTTAATCATGCTTTAATCGAATAAAATAACAAAGTTCTTACTCGTAATATTACTTGTGAATACACTATTGTCTTATTCCTTTGGTTAAACTTCAAACCTTGTGAGCAATTGCAAGTAGTGGATGCTCCTACACTCTAAATAAGCCGTCGATTGTGTTTTTAATATTATTGTCACTTAGATTTTAAGTTTTTCTTTATACAGGCCGTATCAATAAGTCCTGTGAAAATTGGTTTTGTTTCCTTTGTACAGGCCGTAGCAATAAGTCCTGTCGAAATTAATATTATTTTTCTTGGATAGGCCGTGTCAATAAGTCCTACCACATTCGTGAATATATTGATCATTATTGAATAAACAAAATTTTATTATAATAATTCGACTCTCATTATAAGAGTAGTTCTATTCTATTTACTCCCTTTAAACACACACACATACACCCCTCCCTTCTCCTATTTGTCGAGAAAAGGTCGATTTGTGAACAAATCGCCACGGGAAACCTCTAGAACAACCGGAGAGACCCTCCAACCGTAAATAATTCAGTTTAACTCCCACCCCGTTGTAGAAAGTTCCTTGAATCGATTGATTATTACAATAACTGCAAAATCTGGTGCCCCCAAACCATCACAGAATAATCCCTTTCGGTAAATATTAAAAGGAACGCAACAGTATATCGATATTTGTCAGTATCCAAATTAAAGCTTTTTTTATTTTTTTTAATAGACTATATCCCAACGAATTTAAGTATTATATAATATCAATACAGGGTAATATCAACATTTCATATGGGTGGTTGGGACTAAGTTACTCGAGCTATGATAGGTTAGGGGGTTACACCTTCCTGACATTGTTAATTAGTACCTCAAACTAGATTTTCCTGTTTTTGCGTGTCGAATTTTAATGTCGGGTTGATGGCTTGTGCTACTCGGAATATCCATTTGTTATTTCAGTTGTTTTGGAACTCCAAAATAATGTCAATTTTGAATTCGAAACGACTCACGTCAATTCCAAAACCAGATTATTTATTTCATATGATAATATCGAATTTCTGATTGTTCGTCGCAAGTTACACTGCATCCATATATAGCAATAGTAAATTTGTAGATTCTAATACATATAACAAAAAAACAATCGGTTGTTTGTGCTTCGGACTGTTCAAAAAGAAATTAACCACAGATTTCTGACGATTTCATCGTAATATAAATTAGAACGCCAGCGCGAAATTCAAAATGAACTTTGAAAGCATTTGCACTAGCGAGAAGACTTTCGTATCAGCCTTAAAAATATCCTTGTAAATTAATAAAGAAAAATTTCATATTAAATCAAAAAGTATCGATGGGAATCTTTCATTAGTAATTTTTCAAATTCAGCAGTTTTTATTGGTCGATAGAGTGGTATGCATTAATATAACAAATGCACGTGATATTCATTACAAATAACTCTTGCCAGTAATTTATTTTTTAATTTTACTAGCATTAATCATAATTCTGGCCCAAATTAAGATTAAATGATCATCAAAAAAATTCAGCGCTGTGGCGCAGTGTGATGTGAGTAGCTGTCCTGCACCATATCGCATCGCATTCCCATTTTCGAATTTTGACTTCCAAAAAGATAATTATGGGTGCGGAAAATCCATAAAAGATACAGGGGGAACGTAACATTACAAAATTTTTATTCCAAATATAATCAGCTTAATTAATCCAATTATTGCTATTTCAATCACCACTATCACAATTATATTCCGTTCTTAGTTTTCTGCTAGTTCAAATACTTCAAAATATTATGACAATTATATTATTGTGTGTTTCGTCGTAGGTTGCCTACATGCTTAATGAGAGCCTCGCCATAAAAGTCAAAATGTATTTGATGAAGGCATCATCCAAACATTTTTGAGTAATATTCTTCCGTATTTTCTATTGCCCTGTTGTGACTCAAAGCCTTCGAATTTAGTCTCGATGAAACTTTTTTAATAGTGGTTTGTCTTCATTTAACTGATGCGATGCTAACGTTTTGTCTTCTTCAAGTTGATAATGTCATTGTTGATGTAATTATTGTTGAACTAAGATCCACTACATCATTTTTTCACTTTATCTGTTTAAAATTCCAAGATGTTAATAGAGTCAGAGAGCTTAATGAGCTCGCGTCAGTATTTGAGTAATGAAAAAATTTAGATCTGATTTTACTCTGCTAAAAAGAAAGGCGGAATCAATTTTAACGAGCACGTTGGATCTAGCTAAAAATACCTGACTAAACTATTTTTGAATCAGCTAATGGTTTCGTCATTTTGCAAATTTGCCAAAAATTTAAAGAACTTCTTCAGAATAATATTCCAGTACAAATTAATTTCGTCAAGCGCATCCTAATTAATATATAATGCCGTAATAATAATAGTCAGAACACGCAACACCTACCCTTAATTTATACGTGTACTGTCGTATTAAAAAAGTGTGTGATTTCGTATTGTCTTTTTTGAGTATTGTCTACTAAGCGAGTTACCTACCCTGTTCGACAACTGGATTTGGACAAAAGTAACACTCTTGTTATATACAAGAATCCAACACTTATATTCCATGAAAGATTTCTATCTCTTCATAAATGGTACTTGATCTTCTTAACCGAGGTGACTTTCATCTCGAAAAACTTGATAATCTTATCATACATGTACAAGGGGATTTCGAGGTCCTAGAATTGAATCTTAAATAGATTTCACGGGATCCTGAAAAGTGGTTACGAAATCTATTGTGGATGTGGAAAAGCTCCCATTATAAAATATGGAAGAATCGACCCAAAAGTAATTAGCCCAAGATTGTTAAGTACGCTTGGAAATTGTATAATTTCGGTTTGTATGACGAGGCACTTCGATGGAAGAAAATTCGCTAATCTCTTTAATAAACACGATGGATAATAAGGCTGTTCCTGGTTCAAGAATATCTGGCTCTCGAAAAATTGTAGGAGCATTCAACATTGTCGTTCCAAACGACAAGCTTCCGTGTTTTTCACAGACTTTTGGGTCCTCATTTAACAGTGTAAATAATCCAAACAATCCTATGTATAATTGTGAAGATATCCTTATGGAGGTTACTTATCTGTTATGATTGTGATTAAAAGAAATCACGACGTGTTAGTGATTGGACTCACACTCGACTTGACTCGAGTCAAAACGAGTTGATTCGAGTCCAATCACTACGAAGTGCAAGAGTGGTGGTGTATAGATATATGTCGTAATGGATTTATATTTGTAATCACCCAAATAATACTAGTTGTTAAATGAGTGTCATAAAACAGCCACCATCACAAACAAAAATTATTAAATTACTTTAATACTTTCGATTTAACCAATCCATACTCGATAAGAACATTACTATATTTATACAATTTTTGTCGTGGTGATTATTAAATTCATATGGCAAACTATCTACAGGAATATTATATTAAATCGTTCTTGCATCATAAGCATTACTTTATAATTCAAGGTTAACTACCATCAATTCAAAATGAGAAAAAGGGAGAGAGAATATCAAGGGAACTATCGTTCACACACAAAAACTGGACAGATACGAAATTAACAATACACAAAGAAGTCAATGTTGTTCAGGCGCAAAGCATCGTTCGCCTTGTGATTCAAGGTTGTTGCCCCACCATTCCGGAAAGTGAACCTGCATTGTAATGATAATCATTAAAGCCAAAGATTTGGAAGAATAAAAAATAATCAAGTGATTACCTTATTGACTCCATTAAAGAAGAAGAAGATGACCATAGTAACGATCTGCGTCCCGCTATCCAGCGCCGCCGAAAGAACATAATTATACCTTAAAAAAGTAAAAAGATACATTCGAAATTCACGTACTCCAAAGAACTCTTTAAATCAAAGCAAAAACAAACAAACGGAATACAAACTTCTTCCACCACCCATAACGATACCGAAATCCATAATACTGGCTCAAACACGCGGTAATAAATCCCATGATAATGAAATTCGTGTAAGTCCCCGGGAGACACCCCAAACCAGCGCAGATTAAGGGGACGTTGACAAGATTGAATTGGCATTTTGGGTATTTTCGGTGGAGTAGATAGAATGGGAGTGGTGCGAACGCGCCGATCAGGAAACCCCAAAGAAGCGGACGGTAGAGTGAATCGACTCCTTTTTTTTTTTTTTTTTTTTTTTTTGGCAAATTACGAATTGATTGGTTTATGGTTAGCATAAGCTTGAAAATGCGGAGACCTCATAATTTATTTCAAGTTACCGAATGTTCGAGCTGGTCCAATTAATCCCCATACAATTGATGCAGTATTGAATACTTGCGACGCGTAACCAGTCCACTTTATTTGATTCATAAAATTAAAATTCAATTTTAGTGGTTACGAACTCAATCACCTGCTCGAATCGCAAATTCACAACATACCTGACCAGTCGGATCACGTAAAGTCCCATCCAAGAAAGGTCTTTTCGCATAAATAATCAATTTCAAGACCCAGAAATTAACGAAACAGCCTACGCTCGTTCCCCATAGTTGCGAGACAAACATCGACTTTGGTGGGATCTTCATGTAATGACCTTTATCAGTATGGAAAAATGATTAGAAAAACGACTTGAATCGGACTACAGATAGTAAGCATAGCTCACCAAGTTTTAGATCCGACACAAGCAAAAGACACTGGTACATTGCCATGTACCCATAGCATTTAAAATACACGTTTGCAATTGGTCGACCGGGAAGCACGTATCTTTTTGTATATTGTGGTTTTTTGTTAGTCGAATTTTGTTGTATCTAACTATTGGTAATATATATATATAAATACCCGCATATCATTTCCGTGATAACGTTTAGTCCTACTTGGTTGTTTGAAATAGCTTGAATGACACCTACAAATAAACGCATACGCATTAAACAAACAACACGAGATTTATATCGGAACAAAAAACTGAATCATAACGATAATGACACTGACCAATAGGCAATACCATAATACAAGCCAACCCAACAGCCATCAACATTCCCCACCACGGTAAATTCGCCTCAGTGACATATCCAAGAACGATCGAAATAACAAGCATAATGAAAAATATTGTACCGTACCACCAATTAGGGATTTCTACGCGAACAGAATTACATTTTCAATTTACATAACGATAAAAAAAGAAATAAACCAAGAGGAAAATACTATACCTTGATAAACCTTCATCATCCTCGTGTGTATGTCTTCGTTCTCTTCCGCCCTACTAGCTTTAAATCGCGTCCATATTTCATTACCATAGAACAAACCCACATGACTCACTGCAGACGTGAATGCGATAAAGGACCAAAAGTACCCAATGGCAAATACTGCAGATATGTAGACTGGTCCGATTTGTTCGTAGGCTGTTACGTTTAGTGAGCCGGTGTGTGGATCTATCACGGCTGTTTGATTGTATCTTTATTTTTTGAGCAAGAGTGTGAGAGAGATAAACGTGATAGAAGGCTGTTTTCATTCTATATATTTACCTGTGTCCGTTTTGATCATAAGGATGTGTCGAAATGAATGGAAACTTCTTGGCCTCGCTTTATACAGATAATTGAAAACAAATTAGATAGATTAAAAAAAAACAATGAAGAAATCCACAATCAATAACTTACAGGACATTATTAAAATATACTAGAGGTGCAATAATCCATGCGCCTATAAACACACCAACATACAAATTGACACTCGCAAACCTACAAAAACAGTCATACAACGATTATTAATACTACGTAAATACAAATAATTTTCTAAAACGCATTATAAATACCAAGGAGTAAACAATGGGCCCGATTGCCCGATAGCATTCCAATCCAACGAAAAATTCAGAATTCCAACACCATGATACCCACTTCCCAACTTTTTAATCGTCGCACTGGCCGGCGCGGCTAAACACAGAAATGCCATACTCGTCAGCCAGGTGAACATGTACTGCGGAACGAACTGCCACATGAAAATACACGAAAACACGATCACAAAGAACCGGAGTTTGTCGCGGGTTTCTTTTGCGTTGCCATGTAGTGTGGTGTACATTGATGCGAATACTAGATTTGCTGGCCAAATCATGTTTGCGGGGCGTACAAGGTCTTTTTTTTGGTTTGGTATTTGAATTGTTAGTTTTTTTCGAATATAATGGAAAATACATAATTAGGGTAATTACATTTTCGTAGAAATCCAGCGAGTCCGTATCCAAGCATCTGTGTGCTGATAAGCAACAGGATGCCTTTAAAGAAACCAACATGTTGTTTATAAAACAATTCTTGAATCGCGATAATATCCTGCATTTTAGATTCAAGTCAAATCAAATTAAATTATTTGTAATTCTTAAAATAATATTGAAAGTTCAGAAAATTACCGTAGCATAAGCAGATCCACCACCAGCAGCAGTTGCCACACAAATGCAAACATGTTCTTTTACATTGAATGGACCTTTTTGTTTTTGAACGTGAGCGTAAATTTGGTTAATTTGAATTAAGACCATTAGTATTGCAAAAAAAACAAACCTGGATTAAAACTAAACTGCCATCTCCAAATTCTATAATTTTTACTGGGCAATATTTTCGCCATCCATCGTCCAAGCACGTACGACACGAGCAACACAAAAAACAACGAGAATCCGGCATTGTTTGGACGAAAGTAGTAGAATTCTGATAGTGTTGCTCCGAGTGTTGTAAAGAACTATTATTATATTCATAAGTATTATTATTGTTTGTTTCAAGTAAATAATATGATGAAAAACGCGAAAATTACCGTGCTCAACACCCAGAATCTAAATGTGATACAAGATAACGTTGGATCATCTTTCGTGCTCACCGCCTAGTAAGTTACCAAAATTACAGTCTATTCATCCAATGACATTACAAAATAAAAAGCAATCATACCGCTGCCACCATTGGTATCGGTGAATTCTCTTCGCTGTCTTCTTGTTGATCATCCTCTACCTTAGTTTTTTCGGTATCATAATTGCTTTTACTATATTCGACATTATCTTTTTCATCGTCGTTATTTTCGACTTTCTCGGCGAGTGTACTTTGGGTGCAATCAAGATCACTTTTGTTGTTATTATCGTTATTTATCGTCGGTAATTCTATCATTATAACCATCTTGATAAAAGAGATATTTGGATAGAAAAAATGACGGGAAACTGAGCAGTTTTTTTGTTGTTATCTCACCCTGTATTAATACGGAGAGAAAGAAATATTAGAAAAATCCTCAGAGAAGATAATAAATAGTAATTTGAGACCATTTGAATTTGGAATTGATTTTTTATATTTAAGAAGCAGTTTTGGCAGTTTTGGTTTTGGTTTATGGGATCGATCGAGAAAAGTTCGTGTGTTGTGATGTTCGTTTCAAATGAAACATTTGTCAGTTACGAAAATCATGAATGTGTGAATATATTTTTTTCGTGGGATTAGTAATTTACCTTTGTTTACTATTTTTTTTTGAATCAGTCACTGTAATCGTAGATAGAAATGTAATATGTGTACAATGTGTGTGTGTGTGTGTGTGTGTGTGTGTGTGTGTGTGTGTTTGAATTCAAACAAATAATTGAAGACCTCTTCAATCTTTTATAGAATAATTTACATGTATTAATTAATCTATTTGGTGATGGCCTTTAAAGTGATGGTGATATATTGAGATTTTAAATGCTTGTAGAAGTGCGTACGAGCGAGAAAAAAGAAACATACAAGAAGGGAATAAAAAAAGTAACATTGTTGCTGTACTGTTAATAATCGCAATGATGTTGATGCCGATGGTGATGTAGTAAAATTTTCTTTGCTGCTGGCAAACATTGATCAATGCACCGTGATGCATTTTGCAGCACAAAGAGAGGGAAGGTTGCATACATTGCCATGATATCAGTGAATTACACAACCGAAATGATTTTTCTCTTGGTAATGGCTTGTTTTCTATTTGTGATGTTGTTCAATTTGGAATTATTGAATTTTGAATTTGCCTGCATATCTTTAATTTTGTAAAATTGGGCAATTAGATATTAATTACAACAATATGAGGAAAATGTTTGTGTAAAGCGAATACCAGAAAACGAAAAACGAATTTATTTATTTTTTATGAGAAGAAAAAATAAAAACCTAGCAAGCGAAACAAGTGGGAGTATTTGGATCAGGCGCCAGCTTCTTGAAGTAGCTGGCGGCGTTCGTTGAATAGCCTGTCTCCAATATGAACACTGAAGGCACTGGCTGGCCAGGTTGTTGGTATTGTTGCGGTTGCTTCGTTCGTTTCGAGACTATCGGCGAAAAATGTCAATTTTGGCACGCAAACATTGTTGATTCTTTAGTCATTGTTGCTATTGTGGTTGTTATCGGTGTCGTTGTTTGCATTTATACTGGACAGAAGAGCGAAAACGGGTAGAACCAATTCTTTAGGTAATCGAGAAAGTTCTACGAAGTGTGGTCGATCCACGTGATCAAAGAACGACAATTGGATTTAATGTTTGCTTCTATTTGACCTTAATAAGAATCCTAAATATGGAGTAAGCAAAAACCTACAAGAAAAAAAGCATACATCTTTTGATTAATAACTAGTCGATCTCAAACACATGTATGAATCGTTAACACAAAGATGCACAAAATTTACGCACAAGAAGCATAAATAAAATAATGCATTTACGTGCGTCACACGATAACGATAATACATGTACTCAATTTGGAATTAAAAGAATCCAAGGATTATAACACAGTCCTTTCACCAATAGAAAAAACTAAAGTTCACGAATTGTCCAGAAAATCCATTCACATCCAGCATGTAATTTTCCAATACCTAAGAGAAATCCACTGCACAAAAGACTAATGCTTATGAGTTAAGAATTATTCACTCTATACTGTATACAAAACGTCCATGAAGATTCACACTACTAGTCAAGTCTAAAAAATGCCGGGTTGTGTCGTACTTTTACATACAGAATTTTTGCGATATACTGTAATATTTTCGGTATGAATGAAAATTTTGATTTCCTTCCTGTTGTTGGGAGTTGTGATCTTGTTCCTTTTTTATTCTTGTATTCAATGACAGTTTGCTACCATTCTTTATAAAATTGTCATCAAACTCGAATGCTCTGCAATTTGTTTTGGATTCGTGTTTCTAATATCCTCTTTTAAACTTTTGGTGGGACAGGTAATTAATTTAGCGACGGAAGTTTCGATTACAGCAAATCACAAAAATTTCCGTGTCCCTGACAGAAGTGTCCTCTGTTTGCAGAAGGGTTTGCTGATATAAGTGTGATGTATTCAGGCCCTGTTCCGTGGTGTGTTTATACGGAAAGACGACTGTACAAATAAACCACAGTATATTATTGAGTCGTGCAATACAAAGAGCATTGCTCAAAGGATTCGTTGACCTACACTTCTTTTGGGGGTTGTATTTAATAATACTTGATGATGACGAAACCTTTTGCTATGATCACTTTGGAAATGTATGACGAATCGCCTGACGAATGACAAATTTGGTAATTTTGACAAACCGAAAACAATAAATTAGTTTTATGTTTGCATAACGTTTAAGTTTTAATAATACTGGCCAAAATCCAGCATAATTTTGGTCTTCGGCCAATCAAATACTCATCATTTGTACATGTGATGTGATTTAAGCTATTATTTTAATTGGTCAGAAGGTTTTGTCAGCTAACGCTAATACTAAAGATCAACTATTAAACCAATATTGTTTATACATGTTATTACGCTTTATCATATAAGCCAATGCGACTTCCACTGATAAAATAATTCTTTTCTTTTTTTTACTAATTAACTTTGTGCGTAAAAGATAAGACTTGAGGTATTTTAGAAGAAAAATGCCTGATCCTTATTCAGTAAAGAAAGATCTTTAATTTACGTATAAATGACTTTCTCTTTAGCAAAAATAAACAGACGTCTTCAAAGACGTTAAATGGGTCGTCTGTTATCATTGAATTTGAAAGAAGGCCTAGTCCTCCTTGCAGCGGTGATGGCAAACAACAACAGCGATTTCCTCAAAATGCATTATTACATGCGCATTTAGCCTTGCTAATGAAATTTAAAGAACTGGAGTTTGATAAAGAGATGGATGACCGTTATTTATTACGAGCTGAACAGTGATATATTTATTATATGGTTAAATTATCGGATTTTATAAGTTTCCTGAGGAAAAAATGTCTATCCCTCCCCTTGGTAATTATAGTTGTATACGAATAATAATTATTTGATAAAATCTCATCTTTTTAAGTCTCAATTTGCGAAATAATAAAAAATGTTTGTTTGCTATGGCACGTTCAGTATCTTTCGCCATTACACTGTTACGAAGATATAACATAATTTTTTCGTTAGCTAAATTTGCAAGCTTTTATTTGAAAAAAACGGAGAATCATCATTTGTTCGAGAACTCAAGGCTTCTTTGTGCATACCAAATCTGTTGTGAATATTCGTCAAGATATCCTAAATTTCGGTCCCAAAACTCATACTATGTAAAGAATAATTTCAATAAAGTTTTTTACAGAATTTAAACAGGCATCAGATGTACTATGTAACGAATTAGATCAAACTCCATCTAAGCATAAGTTTAAATATCTATGGTGCATAAAATCTAAAGTCATCAAACGTTCTTTATTAAGAAGTAAATTCAAAATTTAATCCGTGAATATGCTCAGAAAGGACGGATTAAATTTTGCATTTACTTCTTAGTAAAGAACGTTTGATGACTTTAGATTTTATGCACCATATTTCATTTTTTATATGCTGAACTAATGATTTGATAATATAATATTGAATATTTACGTAAAATCGTGCACACAAATGATTATGATGCAAAATGCAACTGATGCAAGAGTGAATTCGTGAGGGTATATTTACAAGTACAGAAATAACCAAAAGGTCAGTGTTGTCAATTGAAAGTGACAACCCTGCAATATTTTATCATATACTTTATTATTTTTCCTATTCAAAAGAGTACAATTGTCGATTTGAAAACTGGTACTGTCAATGAATCTGATGCAGAGAAAAATTACAATCTTCTCTTTGCTGATAAGGGTATTGACATAGAAAACATTTATACTAGAACGAAGTAAACTTAAGAAGAGTAATCTTGAACGCGATCGTAAATTAAAAGACGTACGAAAAGGGAATAGTTTTCGTGTACATGACTATTCCAATCCCGTTTTCTATCGATCTAACAAGACTTTACAAATAAATTGGTATATATTTATAAACTTGAAGAAGAATTATCGTTATAGGTAACTCTGTTTGTTACGACCCTTGATATTGATTTTATGTGGCATACATAGCCACTCTCGAATTTTTACTATGAAACATATGGGACAAATACTTAATGATGATGCATCGACAGAGGGAATTTTGCAGTAAATTTGGGAAAGCGTGTCAGGCGTGGTACAAGACATATCGAGAACCTTATAGTGATGAGAGACCATGGAAATTTTGCTGATAAAGGTCAAGATAATTTGATTCCTATTTATGATCTTTGGATTTTATGACAATTGTATGAATACGTATAGAACAGCAACTTATCATCATGATGTAAAAAGAAAAACAACAAATCCAGGTATTTTTTGATTGTTGCTTATTGCAGATTCTGTGGAATTTAGTAACACAAATTATGCTTTAATCGATGAGTTTTACGCATTTGATTTTTTATTTTGGAAACAATAATTAGTTTCTTTCTAAAAGGAGATCGAATGCTAACGTTATAAATTATGAGTTTGTGAAATGTGGTGGTGGTGTATCTTATGATGGAGTTTAGAAATGCTATATGGTTTATTCGATTTGAATAGTTTAAATTGATTGACAATTTTCTTAAAATTCATTTTAATTTTGTATTGACTAAACTACTTAATTAAAAGCTTTACGAAAATCAATCATGTCAAAAATTAGTAATTTCAATAAAATTATTTCAAACCATGCGGTTCCAAATGAAATTATTAATTTTCCATAAAAATAATAAATTTTTTATTTTCAAATTTTACATTAATTAGAAGCTTAAAAAATATAATATTGGCAATTTCAACAAGATAAATGAAGATGACATCACTAGTAGCAGTCATGACGATGGTGGTGATGAATGAGGTGAGGTTGTTGAATGAAATTTTCATCGATTGTAAGGCATGTTAGATATAAATAATTCCCAGTTGTTTATGCAATGCTTTATGGTATCTTGACAATAAAACTCAATACGTACTAACCAAGGAAGCAACTATTTTTTATATTTGGTTAATTAATTTTTTATAATTTAACTTCAAATGAATTGGCTATTTGCCAAGAATGATATTAGTATACTTATAGTATAATATCGATATTCGGTAATAAATTGTATCGGTATGTTCTAAATTCTATAAACTTCTACACTGTTTATAAAACATACAATTGACTGAGACTATTTTTTAACACACATCGATATTCTCAATAAAATATATTTTTTTAAAGAAAAGCGTACTGTCATTTGGTAGCGCAATCACGATACTGTCGGGTTGAAACGAGAACCAATAAAATAGTCATCTTTATAAAACCAAACTATACTATTTGTTACACATTTTTTGAACAATTATTAAAGCAAATTTCAGTTATGCATATAGCCTAAGAGAAAAGCTTGTTTGGACCGTTGTTTTTTCCTTGACTACCTTTCATGCTTCTCCTTTCACTCGGTTTTCCCATAAAATATGCTTCTCTTGTCGGCAAAGAGTAATTCTTTTCGTCAATTTCTTTTTGACCACACTGCCCACAGGGAATTATGAAGTACTGTATAAGGTTCCGAAAAAATATAGGACATTGATTATTATAGAACCGTTAGGATTCTTTGACTATATCGATATATTTTACCAAATTTCTTGTGTTTGCTGTCAAGATCGTGGTAATATCGCTGTAACCAGCTATTAGATATAACTTTAAAGGTAAAATGATCATTAGGGTGCACAACATTTTCAATATGAGACAAGGTATGTTTCTCCTTTTCATACATCGAAATACCTCTTAAATATGTTTTATATAGATTAGATACACAGTCAATTATTACACTCATGTACATTTTTTGTTTCGTAATTTTCGTGAACTTATAATTGAAACGAGTTATTGACTATAATGTTTCTCGTAATAACGTGCACTACAAATTCTCATACACGAAATATTATGCATTATAAATATAAGTTGTTTTTTCCTTAATTGTTTGTAATGCTTCACATCTACCATCTAATTACCGTATTTTCTCATAAGGATACTAAGTTTCCGTACTTGAATTTTTTATAAAGTTATTAGTTTTAAATTCTTATGTAATATCGATATACATGTATAGATATAGTGTACAGAAATAAAATATTTTGGTTATGGTGCATAAAATCTAAAGTCATCAAACGTTTGTATTTTATAAAATGTATAAACTTCTTTACTAAGAAGTAAATACAAAATTTAATCCGTCCTTTCTGAGCATATTCACGGATTAAATTTTAAATTTACTTCTTAGTAAAGAAGTTTATACATTTTATAAAATACAAACATTTGATGACTTTAGATTTTATGCACCGTAGTAACGAGATAAATTTTATTGGATTTTTGTTCTATGACAATAGCGTACACCGCACCTCGATATAGTCACGGGGTTGGGAAACAAACTTGGGTGTTACAGTGACTATAGAGAAGTTTATTATTAAATTGTGACTATACTGAGGTGCGATTGTATTTAATTATAAAAGACACCGTTCTAAGTGTTCTATTTTGTTCAAAAATTTTTGACAGTTGGATTGAAAGTACAAAGTATAGTCAGTCTTATACAGATTTTTGTATACTTATAAGATAAAATAATTTTTTACTAAATGAGCCTGTTGATGAAAACTTTGCGTGTAGAATTTACTTTCAAGTTTGATAAACAGCAACAGCGGAACGTTTATTGATAATACGCTAGAAGAATAAATAATTTATTCGGCAGCTATGACTTGGTTCAAGTAGTGTTTGAAAGACAAGTGTCTCATTTCGATGTTGTTGAAAAAGTTATACGAAGTCTAAATTGCCTTCAGTCAGATTTACGAATGCAATTTCTTTACGAATTAAAGTCAAACGATTTACATTAAAGTGAAAAAGAACTATAAAAAGGTCTAGGTAATTAGCGCTTTGATTTGATTTATTTAGTGTGAATTCTGAAAAACAGCCATCTATGAGAATTTTATGAAACATGTCAAGGTGCGTACAAATAAATTGGAATTTGATGACAACCGAATTTTTGTTGCATAAACCACCCCTCTTAAGAAAATTAAACTTTATTTTCACTACAAGGCTATTAATTTAGCAATTAAAATTTTTAAGAAATTGCACTTGAATCTTGATTTCTTTATTTTGCAGAAAAATAATTGGTTTTATTAAAAATTTGGGCCAAATCAAGGTTTAAATTTTCTACAGAGGTGGGTGGTCTATGCGGCAGATTACGATAGATTGGGTATGAGTGAATCAAATACAGCCTTTCCTCTTTATAAGAAAACGTATTATATAAAAAACTCTCTATGGTGACATCTATATTTGGAGCTGAAGATTCTGAAAATTGAGTGTGAGACTAAAATTAAGGAAATCGACTAATTGGGTATGTAGTCAAAATTATCAATCGATTTTGAGTTGAGAATTGATTCCTATCCTTATTTGGGACCAGTTAGGTATTTTGTTTTCTTGTGTAAAGAAATTCTTGATAAAATAATGAATCAGGTATTACTATCCGAACCTTCGTTACATCAATACGCAAAGAGAAATTCTCAAAAAGAATTAACCACAATGGTCAGATGGTTATTTTAGTCAAAAGCATTTAATATACATGTATAATTTGCATAATTTATATACGGAATTCGAATTTATCAATTTAAATTCATCATATAAAGGTGAATATCTCACTTCGGAAAAGAAAAATTCTATCAAGTTTACTAAAAAAAATTGTTAAAAAGCTTTTGACTGACTGATTAATCATACAGTCAAACCCTTCATTCCTCCAATTAATCGCCAAATTTGTCTGGAACCGATGGGTGTACATGTACGAATAATAACAATCCAAAATTTCGTGCTATGGAATTTTCTAATGACATGAGAATACTTCAATTAATAACGATAAAGAAAACTCTGTGACTGAGTTTACACTTCAACTTTCGATATACTGTTATGTCTCCTCGAAAGTTTGTTCAACCGGCGAAGAGATCACAACACGTTAATTATGAGTTAGACTGAATGATCTACTAAAAGAGAGGTTCTCTTAAAGTTCTAAAGGTCTCCTGTGATGATTTTTACGAAAACCAACACCAATGAAAGGTAAGGGTCTTTTTAAGTAAAGGTGTTTTCGGGTAAATACTAACTAAACTTTAATTACTTTAATTAACAAGTAGGATTTATTGATACGACCTACAAAACAAATTGATGTTTACAAATATTAAAAAGCGCTTTAACACAAAAGAGTTGGATTTATTGCTGCGGCCAACAAGATACTATAATTCCAAACTCGGGGCATGGCTTATTTATAGTAGAGGTCTTCTACTACTTATACACAAGCTTTGAAGATGATCAAGGGAAAAGATTTGTTAACAAGTAAGCATATTTTACAAGTTGGCACTTTAATTGAATCAGAGCATGAGCTTTTTCTACTTGAAAGAAGCTCCTTTTATAACAATCCTTCGACTATACTAATTACATATTTCGTTCTATAGACTTACAAAAATAGAAACAAAAATATCAGCTAGAAATTATTCACAAGAAAATATTCACTTGCAATTATCAACTTGAAATTATCAGCTGGAAGTCATCAGCTCGATAATACAAACAATTACATGTACATGTACTAAAAAAATGTAAAATCAGTCCAAAATGTGTGGACAAGCCACCCATTCTGATGCTAATAAACAATGGCATTTTAGTGTGGAAGGGGAAAGGATTCGCGATAAAATAAAAGGGGGTGATTGGGGTAGTTGCCATATTGGAACAAAGGATTTCTTAAAAAGGAACATAATTATATGTACGTATTAGTATTAAGTGCTAAATAATAACGAAGATGATCACGAAGGTTAAAAATAGTAATAATAAACGATCATCGGAATACGATAATCATGCGAAATGGGGATTGGGGTGGTACGTGATAAATAATAATATTAACTATGAAGAAATTATGGAATTAGAGAATTTCGTGTTGCTACAGCAACAATACACGCCAATAATATGCATTGAAATAGACGCCAAAATTCACTAGAATCATCATCTGAAATATGCAAAGAATAAATACAAGAATAGGCACCAAAATATAAGGAATTGATATCCAAAATACGCACAAGAATAGGTGCCAGAATATGTGACGAATTGTCGAATACGCCAAGAATAAACGCTGGAATATATCATTTGGATTACGCTAAGAATAAATACTGAAATATTTTAAAATAGACCATCTAAATACGCGCTGAAATATAAGGGGTTTACAATCCGAAATACATGCTGAAATGCTATCCGAAACAAGAATGAATCAATATCACTGCCGTTTGAATTATCATGAATGGCCAAGTGACGGATCACCATTTTTTGTTGAATATGCGACAATTATCAATTATATAATCAAGACAAGCCCAAAAAATTGACGCTTCAAATAAAACACTTGAATTGTAGACGAGTTAACAAGGTGAATATATCTATAACGGCAGATGACGTGGCTGACGTTTTTGTCATTCAAACAATGAAAGGATTTGTTCCCCAAGGATGAAATAATTTGAGCATTCTTTCCACAAAAACCACAGATTTTGAAAACTAAAGATTTCACTTTTTCTGAATTGGTAATTGAGGGATTAATTTAATCCATTAGGTTCTTATCATTGATTCCATAAATACGTACTTTTTCGGAAACACTCATTTTAAAGTAATATTTAATATCGACATTGGTTCATTTGTGTTCATGTCAATCTTTGATGACGAATGAATGAACTCTACCTTTGTGTGCTACTAGAAAATTTCCATTTTTCAATGATCTATGTTAGAGAATTTCCATTTGACGTAATTGTTCGATGCTCCTTAAAAACCCACCAGTTTTCAACTTTGTAATAATAATATGATCAAAAAAAGGGTTGTTTTGTTAATTCATTTATTCACAAAATTGATTGATAATATAAATAACGTAATATTTTACGTGAATTGTTTTGTTTCAAAAGAAACAAAGACAGTGAGTGGTGGGTGGGTTACACATGAATCGTATGTAGACCAATTTTTAGTAAAAATCATATCGATATGGTGCCTCTAAAGTCATAAAACGTTTGTATTATATAAAATGGATAAACTTCTTTACCAAGAAATAAATACAAAATTTAATCCGTGAATATGATAGAATAGACCCTTTCTGAGCATATTCACGGATTAAATTTTATGTTTACTCCTTAGTACGTAAAGAAGTTTATCCATTTTAGATGCACCATATCGATATCGATATAGATATTATTCAATATAACTTGATCGACATTTGATTTAATTAATCGATTGAACACCACCCCAATGTTACAGTAAAAGGTTAAGTGATTTCTCTCCTTGAAAATCATTAAGAATCATTTTTAATAAATTTATATTTCATAATAGTTTGGGAAACCTAATTTTTGATATATATATTGCATCATTTCTAAGGGATTTTATTTTTTAGTTATTAAACTTGTCAAATCTTTTAAATATATCATCATCTTTCAATTTTGATATTTTAAATAGTTTTTTTTTCTTTTAACTTAAATGGCAACAGACGAATTGTTAGCAAAAGTAATACTTAAATTACAAGATCCTGTACCTCAATATGTTTTAGGTTGCCTTCCAGCTATAGCAACTATTGGAGCAGCACCTAAAAAAAGCTTTATATCCAAGCTATTCTGGGTTTTTCGATGCCTTGGTTGCCCATTTATAGGATTGTTTTACACCTGCAATGTAAAGATTGACGAAACAACACTATACTGGCTCAACAAAAGTTGTTTTAAGAAGGTATATGAAGGAAACGTTGAGGGACAAATTGTGGCAGAAGAAGAAATCCCTCACAGACCTTTCGGACATCATGCTATGATGGTAATCCACAAAAATTCCACCCACTCAAATCCTATCGTGCTAGAAAGATTGAATGAATGCGCAGCATCAAATGATACCGTGCTAAAAAGATTGGATGAATGCGTAGCAGATGCATCTGTGTTGGAACGATTATCATCATCGTTCTCAGCATACTACATATTTGTCGGTATACTTGCAGGAATAACAAGGGTGATTGGTCCGCGTACCTGTGAGGATTGGCCATATATACCATTAACATTATCCTGGACATTGCCTGCAATCTACAGGAGAACAGTTCGTGGGAAACTGGTTGTCAAGGATCCGGAGAGGTTAAAAAACACAGTAATATATGTCGAAAGTTTCGCTAAAGGCAACGAAGAACACCATACCCGCGTTGTACTCACTGCTTTAGCATCAATAATAGTTCCTTGGATATCAATACTCTTGGCTTACTTCACACCTCCAATTGGATATTTTTGTCGGAGCAAATATCTTACAGTAATTTGTTCCGTATGGTCATTCAACAATATTCTTGCGTACATACATCATTGGTTAGAAGACAAATATGAGCTTCTTGATACAATAATTCGTGTTTGGTTTAACCTTTGTGGTGTTTTCGTAGTAGTTGCTTTTTTTTTGCTAGCCTTGCTAGCCAATGAAAATAAATGGTGGGTAGATTTGTTTGGACCATCTTGTGATGTTTCGGACACATGCTCAATTAAATATTAAACAAAAAATGTGCTGCACTAATAGTACAGAATTTTTTCAGTCAATAATATTACAATATCATTTTTTTATATTTATCATTTGATTTATTAACGATTGTTATCAGCATAAAGAAAGCTTATTCAGACAATTCATTTTTAACGAGAATTAAATTAATAGAATAAAAATTTATTTTTAACTTTTAATTAATTAACTTGTTTTAGAAAATACCGTAATTCACTACCTATTTTCATAATATTTACTAATTAACTTTGTATAAGACCCCGGGTATCTTGGGCAATAAATTACAATGATAAATGATAGTATTGTGCAATTCAATAATAATTTTTTGTATTGTTTAATACGTAGTAACAATGGTTATATATTGTATTACTTGAATATTACCATGTTTTAAAACCATATCCATTAGGGCTCCGAAAGAGCTGAGTCATATTTTAACTCGGACTTGACATAATTTGCTTTGAATTGTGTAATGATTTCAACACAACTTCCCTTTTTCCATCTCGTTTAAATTTATTTTCTTTATGATCCCATCCCACAATTGTATCTAATGGTCCGTCCAACCAGGTTGCTTTATATATTAATCCAAAACCTCCTTTTATTCAACATTGGTAAATCTTTCAAAAGGGATCCATTCGAAAGATTTAGATCCAATTTTGTCGCATTCATTTATTAGACTGTCGATATCTTTATTTCCGCTAGACCCTTCAACATCAATTCGTTTGTGATAACGAACACACCAAGAGCAGTACCCATTTTTTTGACAATTGGTACATTTACTACAATCATGAGTATTATGAACTGAACACTCATCGCAGTACTCGGAGCATAGACAATCGAAACAGTTCTTAATGCAATCACGAGTATTGTGAACACGCTTTGCAGTAACCACATTGACAATAGAAGCATTTACTACAATCATGAGTTTCGAAGTTTTAGATCCCATATTAGTGATTATAGCAATGTTTTATTTAAAAAAAAAAAACTATGATTTATACGTGTATGTGATGTGGAAGTCGTTCACTTGTGTTTGTAAAACGATTTATGCATGTTAATTAAATAAGGTTCATCATGAATACGTAATTAATTCTATATAGATTCAATATCACGTCGACTCTTACGGCAAAACTAACACATAAAATTTCGATTACGCTTCCTTCAGAGAGCAATCTTGAGCTTGTTCACAGTTTTTGAAAGCTTTTACACTTTAGAATAAATACGTACTGTTCTACAATGGTTTCTATGAGAATACGTTAATTGGTTTATAATCATTAATATCGATATTACCTATTTCGTGGTCTTTTATATGTATAAGCGTTACAAATCTGGTGATCTGTCCGAGAAGCAAGCCAATAAGAACACGTAAATTTTTGATCAACTCGGAAAAATAAATATCGATACGCTTGAAGCATTAATTAAAAAACGTCGGAGAGGCAATTTTACATATACCTTAGCCCTCCACTCTAACCCTAACGCTAATGGTAAAATCAACCTTTAATTGTGATTAAACACGTATCACGTGTTCACAACGCTTTAGCGCATCGTTATAGTATAATTTTGGGAAATGTCGGGCGTTCGGATACTTACGTATGTATATCGATATACATGTGTAACGCCCGATTTTTTTAAAAATGGAATTTCGATTTATTACATGTACAAAAATTTCACAATTCTATCACAAATTATGGTGGATTATAATTTTATCGAATGACATTCATATTAATTTGATCTTTTATTTGACATTACATAACCAAATTTAATATTTATTTAACATTACACAATCACAATTAATACAAATTTGTGAATGTTTAATTGATAATTAAAATAATCATCAATGAATTATGTACATTTTTGCATACTTTAACATTTATTTTCACTTTTCTTTTCACCCTTTATTTTCTTTTATATTTTTCTTTATCAAATTAATCTTTTTGCTATTGGTACATTCTATATTTATCCCCAACAAGAATCTTCTTAATTATCTTAAACCAATTATATATTATTTTTCATCTTATCTTTACATTCATTACTATCTCTGTAATCTTATGATTTTTCTTATCTCTAATCACTAAAATTTATATTAACTTTCCTTGTATTTCATTTTCTATTATCTTGTATAATTTTTCATTTATTTTCAGTCTTTGTTCTTCTTTAGTATTGTTCAGTATTATCCGTAAATAGTGGTATAGTTTAAAATTATTATTATATAAATTGAAGAAACTGTTAAAAATGTATAAAAGAAGAGTCTCTCATCATTAGAAATTCTCATGCTCTAATCTAATAAAAATAACAAAGTTCTTAACTTTTAATATTATACTTTTGAATATACTATTATTTTTTTTGTCATTTTTAAATCTTGACTTCAAATAGTGGATGCTCCTCCATTTTAAATAAGTTATTGACTTTAGTATTTTTGTTTATTTTAATTTTATTATTTTTAGATCATATCAATAAATCCTAGTTATTTTATTTGTTTTTATATTCTTTATTGATATTTTCAATAAGTTTTATTTTGTTAGGTATTCTTAATAAGCTTGTTATTTTTTTAATAGTTATTCTACTTTTATTTTAGTTTTTATTCATTTTATTTAATTTTTCTCTGTTTCTATTATTACCTTTGATATTAAGTTGATTTGTGTACAAGCTACCATAGGAGACCTTTAGAATCTTTAGTGAATCCCATTAATAATAAATCATTCAGTCTTTATTTTTTAATGTTATGTTACTTTGTTAATTTATTAATTCTAAGAATTCTTAAATTAATGAGAATATTATCTACCCACTATATGATTAAGCTCACAATATTCCACAAACTAACACATTAAATTTCTTTATGAGCTTGTTCAGTTTTTGAATGATTTCTAGATGTTTTTTATGAAGCCAGATCTAGAAGAATATATTAATTAATTCATAATCATTAATATTTTCTCTTGAATCTATTTTGTGATATTTTAGAATTAGGATTAGGGTTAAGCTGAAACACAATATTTTTTCAAATTAATGAGCATGATATAATGAAAAAGAGTGAAATTACCTTAAAGTGTTTTCGGATAAATTTTTACAAAGATTTTTTGTGATAATGTCACGAAATGGCTTAGATTATCTTTTTTTGGCTTCTTGTAATATGCATTTTTTTCTTGCTTGTTAAGAGTTTGTGATCCTGGTAGATTTTCTTTTTTTTTATTTCTCTTGTATTCGGCAAAAGATCATTATCCCGTCATCGTGGCTCATTTTTCTTGCACAGCACTCAAAATCCCAAATAAAATTACCATTTTACTCTTGTCAAAGTCAGTCAATTGGCGGTAGCTCCTGATTCGAATCTTGGATTCGGATTTATTCGGAATTCGATTCGAAATGGCCGAATTCGCATCTGCTCTAGTATTCGTTCAAAATTCGAATCGTCACCAAATCGATTTGAATCACTTTTTTAAGATTCAGATATTATTCGAATCGATTTGAGTGATTCG